CCCCAAAACCCCAAAACCCCAAAACCCCAAAACCCCATTAAATTATTTACAGATTGGAATATCTTCTCACAGTGAAGTTAACACATATCTAGACGTACTCAACATCAACTTGTGGCAGCCACTCGTTGGATGGGTTAATAACTATCTTTGTCTTCTTTCCTTCTGGAGCTGACTGAGCTTTCATCAACACAAAGAGGTTATTAGCAGCTATTTTACATACCTCTTCTAACATCTCAGTGGAAAGAATGGTAGTGTTTCTGAGTTTTTCGTCAGTACCCTTGATCTGGTTGAGAAGTTTCATTCCTTGCATCAGGTTTTCTCTCATTATATTGACTTGTTCTCCAGTTTCATCGTTGAATACTTTATCATATGTCTCTTCATAGTCTTCATACTCATTGTATCTAGGGAAATTTAGATATTTGAAGAGGTAAAATCTCCTTCTGTATGCATTTCTTTCTATGAAATTCTCTCCTTTTTCTTTGCCAAATTTACCTCTGAGAGGGTTCTTGATGTGGCCATCCTTCATCAAGACCATGAAGAGGATGGTGAGGCCTGAATAGATCTCTCGGAGAGCATGGTAGAAGACAAATTCGTCACATGTGATCTTCTGCAAATCGCTCATTTTCTCACGATGCTTCATGAATTCTTTATTTTCTTCATTATTTTCAAAGGAAATCTTGCCACCTCTGGCCTGGTCTTCACAGAAACCTAGGATCATGATTCTTCTGTTATTCTGGAGGGTCCTGAATACACTAGAGAGGTAATCTGAGATCATTGCGAATTCATAAGGGGCATATAAGTCAAGAGGGAATCCAAGCTTCAAGAACTCAGCCATAGCCTCAACAACAAGATTGATGCTGATCGTTAGACAAGGAGTTGTCTGCTTTCCAGGGTACTTCTTCTTCGAGATCAGCCTGTCATCTGTGAAGTTAGCCTCATTAATCAAAATTGATAGGTCTTCATAATATCTCTTCAAATTTTTCTGCTGATTGGAGATGTTCCTCATCTGACGGAGAAGTCCTTCCCTGGTCATGAGGGAAAACTTGAAGAGGAAATCTCTGACCACCTTATCATCAAAGTATGACCAGAAGTTTGGGAATAATCCTACTACGTAATCTCTCATGAATTCTGAGTGCATATCGAATTTACCAAAAATCCTAATGGTGTTATTATCAGGAAATACAATCTTCTCAGCAAGGGCTCTTACAAGTGCACAAGGAGTCTCGATGTGTAAATTCTTCAAAAAGTGAGAAATCTGGTATGTAAATTGGAAAGTATTTAGCTTAATAATCAGCTTCAAATTCTGAAGCAGCTTATCAAAGTACTCAATAGCATGGTCATACGACAAATCGTTGTCTCTATTGGTCATTGACATAATAATATTAGCTGATTTCATGATTGTAGGGTCAAACAGTTTCTTAGCAGTCTCGATATCCTCCTCACTAGATAAGCCATAAGCATCTCTGATGGCTGGGAGTGACTTCTCGCTCATTGCAGAGATGCTCTCTTCAGATTCCTTCAAAGGATCTAGCTCTTTCTTTGCTTGCCTCTTCTTCTTATTCTTCTTTTTCTTTTTGTTTTTAGAGACTGGCTTTTGTTCGCTTTCATCTGTATTTTCTTTCATGCAGTTTGCACCAGAGCCCATCATCATGACAGAGTAGATAATAGATCTTCTGAATTGCAAGTGATTGCTGATACTCAGCAAGATAGGATCATCAGCCCCTTGAGCTGTTGTCTTCTCGATGACTGAGTCTAGCAACTTCAGGAGTTCAACTAATGTCTCGCAGGTATGCTTCTTCTCGTGTACTGGGGGGAAGGTGAACTCGTCGTCTCTGACACACCCTGTTGTTCTAATGATTTCTACTAGCTCATACTCAAAGAAAATCAAATATTTCAGATATGCATCTAATATATCGTTGTTAGAGTAATAGCTTGAGTCAGCCAACAATTGGAAACTATAAATAGTTGCTAGAGGTGCATTTCCTTTAAGCCATCTAACTTCTTGGATCAAGAAAAGATTCAGAATTGCCAAAACTTCATTGTTAGAGTAAGTCTCCTTAATAGTTCCAGCTTCTTTAGCTTTCTGAGGAGAGAAGCTTGATTCTAGGTCACATTTATTATCCATCTTGGGGTCCATTAGCTCAAATCCATTCATTGTATCCTGGAGGTCGAATCCTGGCTGACAAAGGGTTTCCCCTTCTCCAAGTTCCTCACAGACTCCAAAGAGGAGGTCTGTGACATCTTCGCAGTGATCTTCTGTATCAAGTTCATTGTCTTGGAATTGGTATTTCTCAGTCTCCACAATCCCGTATTGCCATTGCTTGGTCGTGAAATTAGCGTCCCTAATCATGTTTAAAATTAAATATTAATAATTTAGCCCACAATTATGGGGTTTTGGGGTTTTGGGGTTTTGGGGTTTTGGG